ACGGCGCGAGGAGTTTTAGGATCGGCGAGGAGGTGCCGGGCGGTAACGAAAAAGCTTGGACGCCGGCGCGCATGAGCGTGTACGTTCGCTCGCAATTACGTATGTGGGTCACGTCTGTGGAGAGAGACCGGCCACCCACGTGAGCGAGCGCGAAGAGGTAAGACCTCTAATAAGAAAGGAGGGCTCTCTCTCTCTCTCTCTCTCTCTCTCTCTCTCTCTCTCTCTCTCTCTCTCTCTCTCTCTCTCTCTCTCTCTCTCTCTCTCTCTCTCTCTCGCCTGGTTGGGCGAAAATTTCCTGACACTTCGGCGCGGGTATCGTGCACCGCCGTCGCCGCCGCTGACATTTTACGAGTGTAATAAAATAATCGCCGCGTCCGCGGGAACGGTACGTTTCCCTTCGCGGACCTTCGCGCCAACCGCAATCGCGTCTCTATGATCGACGGACCAAGTCGCGCCTTCCTGATTTAATGTACAGGGTGAGTATTTTTCATCTTAAATAAAGGTTGTATGATGTTGAGGGGGGCGTACAATAGTGACCTTGGTTTGACCTTGGGACATGACTACTTAAAGTCAGAGGATGATCAGTCTAATTTTCTCAAATGGAACCCCCTATTTTTCATAGTATATTCTTATAGTTGACTTCAAGACCTTTCCAAAACGCTATGATAAAGTATCTTTTTGTTGAGTACTTTCCGAGTTGTATCCGAGACTAGAGATGAGCTAGAGATTCAAGACGCTGCCACATAGACGTACAATAGTGACCTGTTGTACGTCATGTTATATAAATTCACGTAAATCCTGAGAGGCCAGGGGGGACTCAAGCACCCCAAAAGGAACAGAAAACTACCGTTGTTCCTGGGTAGCGCTAAAAGTAGAATTAGAATAAAAAGTGTATTTAAAAAATTCAAGGTGATCTCTCGACCTGAGCTTGAGGACAGTATATCGAAGTCAACCGAGGTCATCATTCTTTCCTTTTCTCAAACCTAATCGTTTTAAGATAATGGATTGACTTAACCTTCACCTGTTAACTTTTGAGTCTCATAACTCGGAAAGTACTCAATAAAAAAATACTTTATCGTAGCGTTTTGGAAAGATCTTGAAGTCAACTATAAAAATATGATATGAAAAATAAGAAATTCCACTTGAGAAAATTAGGTTGACCATCCTCTGACCTCAAGTAGATGTCCCAAGGTCCAAACCACAAAGTCACTGTACGTCCCCCTCAACATCATACAACTTTTATTTAAAAAGTTTTTTTTTTGTAAAATTGCATATTTTCGAAATATTTGCCTGCTGAGATTAAAAATACTCACCCCGTATATTCGCGTCTGTAATTTGCACCGCGCTCTTGTCGAGCGTGCGAACATGCAGTTGACGGTCGACGGAGAGACGACGAGGATGCGGCGCGGCGCGGAACGAATTTGTGAAAATTGCGAGGGGGGGGAGGGGGTTAGTGAGCTCGGGCGCGGAACACGCGCGGAAACGGCGCGATTGCCGAGTGGGGTTTGTTCGCCGACAGAGCACAACCACGTGGCGAAATTTGGCAAAATGACCACGCGCGTCGCGACGCGACGCGACGCGTCCACAAATGGCGCGGCGGATGGTCCGTGGTCGTAACCAACCCCACCACGGCGTGTGATGTTGGTCGAGAGCGACGAGGCTTCTCCAAAAATAGGACAACTTCGACGGCGTCCTCGCCGTCCACGACGTCGGCGGCCAGAGACCGCGACACCTTGGACCTCGCGCGCGCGGCGGCGCAGCTCAGTGGCTCGCGCGTTTTCCGCGCAGATCGATCGATTTCCGAGTCGATTTGTTCGCTGCAAAATCGAGTATGTCATTTTTTGACAAGCATAAGCGCGCAATTGGCTGAAGCCGCGCTCTTTCTTTACGTGCTTCTAGTCGTCTCGAATTACGTCATTTCATTCGTTTAGATATTTAGATTTGAAAGAAACGTTTAAACGTATCAAATGTTACGTGATTGCGAAGACGACCAGAAACGTGCAGAAAAGTTTCAACCAAGCATACGTTTGTGCGTGCTGAAGTACATAACTCGCACTCGGATTTGCAGTGTTTCTCACTTGAGACTCGATCAGCGACTCGATCTACGCGCCGGAAGTCCCTTTGAGAAAGATGAATCTGAGTGATCACATCCCACGTGATCGTCAACGTTGAGGGTGTACTCTCAACTGTCGTGAAATAGGTTATTGGCAAAAAATCCATTCCTCAGGTAATCGCGAGACGAGACGAATCCTTCTACAGCTCTCGGTAGCGCACCCACACTCTCCTCCTCCTTCACTTTCCACTCTGACAATTCGTTTGAAGCCGTCACACCTAGACGCTGCCGCTGCGCGGCCATTGTAGTCGCGTGTGTAATCAATTTGCGAAACTAATTTATCAGTACGCCCACGAAAATTCGCACCAGCGGCGCGACATCAAAGGTGTTCGCGCGCCCACGTGTACCGAGCCGATCGCTCTTTCGCAAAAATCGGCGCGAGCTAACGCTAATGCATATGGCGATCGGAGGCAAGGCTATTTATAATGCAGACACCGTCCAAGGCGGTGCCAGAAATAACAAATCTCGAAGTCGTAGGTCACGCGAATAAAACGACGACGACGCCTACCGCGATAGACATTAGCTGTGACGTGTTTCGATACGCGCGCGCGTTACGGACGACAATCATTACGAACAATAATTAATGACGCGCAACTCGACTAGAAATTTTGATCAGATTCACCTCGCTTTGATAAGGACCTAATAGGATGAATGAAAGATAAGTAAGTCAGTCCTTATAATGTCCTAACGACAAATGAGTAAGAAACACCTTTATAAGGTTATAATGATTGGGTCCACATTAGGACCTTAATGTACCAACCTAGTGTATGATATAATATAGTTTAGTTGATCATCAGGTTCTTGCCGGGATCTTATTCATTGTACCTAATATGATTTGCATCATCAAGTTTTAACAAGACAATTTTTGGGTGTCATTTCCAAATATAAAGATGTTTGCATTGGAAAAACACTTCACTTGAATTCACAGATCACTTGAATATAATTGTAAAATGCTATAGAAACTATCCTTTTTTTAGCAGTCAATAAATAGTTGTAAAATTAACATGTAAAAGTGACATGCAACTTTTCTCCTAAACACTACTTTATGTCTCGTCACCTTGTGATACTCTTTATGATCTTATGATATTCATTTTATGTTTCTTTTCCGAAACATTTTACAAGTATGCTCAAGCGATCTAAAATATTGTTTCATGTAAATATCTTTTTATTTGGAAATGACATGAAAGAATGTTCAGCGTGTCATTTCTTATTTCTAACGTCATCATCCAATATAGCCGTGGCGAGTAATCAGGAGCCATAATTAAAAAAAAAAAAACGTAATAAAGATTCCATAAGATAACTCAATAATGACCTGACTATGAATCCTTACTAAGGTCCTGATATCCACGCTGCGTTACATGACTTACTAAGACCTGATAGTATCACCTTATTGGGGCCTGATGTCCAAATGAGGTTAACCCGATCAGGACCATGGGATAAATTTCTAGTCGGGAATTTATCCCTTCTTCTCAAACAAAGAAAAAATCGTCCAACACGCTCATCTTCCTCGGGATGACAATTTCGTCACGAGAGACACGCAAGTGAAACACACAAGTGAAAGGAGAAAGAGACAGATCGGCCAAATCGAGCGTAATATCCTGCTCTCCCGACGGCAAATGAGCCGAACTCTCCGTTAACGATTTCCCGCACGGTCGATCGATCAAAGCGACACTGAAAAGAAAGGTCGTACGTAAAGCGATCCGTGTGGGAAGACGGTATTTTCACCCGCGCTGAAAAATACCACACCGGAAGAGGCTGGGCGGCTAAGAAAGTTCCCGGTCTGTTCGGCCGCGCGCAGGGCAATTGTGATGTCGACCAATTAAGCCACGGCCCACGCCCGATTTTTCATTTCGCCCGTGCCTCTCTCTCTCTCTCTCTCTCTCTCTCTCTCTCTCTCTCTCTCTCTCTCTCTCTCTCGAGGCCTCTTCCGCATCGATAACATCTCCGTCATCCCACCCTCGAATCATTTACGGCCGGACTCGGCCGGCGCGGCGTTGCTCAACGTCGCGCGCGATTCTCTCTCTCAGTCGCAGAATGTCTGACTTTGCATTCCTCGTCGTGGCGACGCCGACGACGACGATCGTGGAAACGTCTTGATTATTATTTCCAAAAATCTAGGTCAACCGACTGAGAATATCCGAAGGGGAAAGGGATATCGGTCGCCCGAGTCACTCCTCTCTTTCTTTTTACGCGTCTTCCGCGTACGACAAGCGTCTCGGGTCATCTGTTGTGTAATTACACGGTATTATCTGTTAGCCACGGTTATTAAGCAGCTCACGACAATGACCCTCCTCCGTTCAATCGCATAGCTCGTCTAGCGTAACCAGACGAGATATCGAATCCCCCCCCCCCCCGAGTGCCGCGATTGCACGTCGGCTCGGCCGAAGCTCGCGCGTCGCTCCGCGCCGAGTTCTTCGCGCGAAAATCATCGATCGCTGATCAGGCGAGGGAATAGATGACGGCGGCGCGTCATCTATCTTGCTTAACTCGCTAAGCTCGCGGGCCATTTGGTCAAGTATGCGCCGAGCGTAAAACTTTCGTCGGATGCGTTAGAAGCGCTTACGGTGATGCTTGATGGCTTCCGTCATCGTGAAGAAATGCGGTACACGCGCGACGTGTTATTAAGGGAGCCAGGTTATTGCCCACAATACAGCGATTCCAAAGGTCGGCTTAACACCGAAAGCACGAACCTCGGTGCGCTCGCAACTGTACTAAACAGCTGTTGGGCGAAACGGAAAAGATGCCTTCGCGTCGCTATTTTTCTCTTTTCCTCTTTCGCCCCCCCTCCCCCGCCTCTCTCTTTCTTACCCTTCTCCATCTCCCTGCCCATTCTTACGGCGGCGCGGCGAAACCAGTTTCGTTTATCAGAGAGAAGATGCAGACTTACCACATGGCTTGAACGGACACCGGCTTGAAGATATGTTGACGGCCGCAAACGCTGACCTTGAAACCCCTGGAAAATAAGAAATCCGGAAGTGAGATCTCGCGATGGTCTTTAGGGACCGCGACGCAGTCGGGCGGGGTAATCCTTCTACAGAGAGCACGCCGCTGCCGAAGGACTATTTTGCGAATAATCGAGGCCGGCTCTCTGTTTTAGGACCCCGCCGCTTCAGTTACTTAATTTACAAAGAATGGAATCAGCCTCCTCGAGTTTTTCGACGTGCGTTGAATCTCAGGAACACGGGGACACGTGTTTGCCGGCAAATACGTGTACGAATTTACTTGCACAATTGCGATCACAAGTATCGAGTGTCACTTGGTGACGATTTCGAGTCGATTCCCAGAAAATTGACCTTTTTGCTGCAAAAGGTCGACTCTTTTAAATCGACTCGTTTCTCTCCGATTTTTATGCAAATTAATTCCTTCGAACGTTGAGCCAAATTGAATTCTTCATTAAAGGAAACAACGTTGAGGAATGAATGTATCAACGGATATCGAAACTCGGTTCTCTGTTGAGAAGAAGCGATCTGCACAAAAATCGAGCAGAAAAGGATCATCGATTTAACCCTTTGGAACACGTATTTTTCAGAAATTCGAATCACATGAACATTTATATACGGGGGTTTCTGGGGTCACTGATGACGAATCCGTTATCAGATTTTTGAAATTCAAGATGGCGGCCGCAAATATGAAAAATTAATTAACCGGAAGACAATGTCAGGTAAATATATTAGAATTCCATGATCCGCCAACTTGAATCTGCAATCTTGAACAATGAGTTTTGGACCTCGGATTCGTAATCAGCGATCTTGACAGCTAACCAAAGTACAATTTCAGTCAATCATATAAAAATTTTATGATCCGCCATCTTGGAAAATAAAGTTTAGAATTTGGACCTCAGATTCGTAATCAGTGAGCTGAAGAACTAACCAGAATACAATTTTGGCTAATTTTATGTACATTCTATGATTTGCCATCTGGAATCTGCCATCTTGGAAAATGAATTTTAAAATGTGGACCTCAGATTCGTAATCAGCGACCCACAAAACCCCCATGAAAATCTTGATTTTGAGTAAAATATTCGCTCACAGTTCGTGGAAAATGATTTTTTCCGTAAAAATGTTCTGTAAAAATGTTCCGAAAAGAAACCCTCAAATAACGAGAAAACCCTCAAATATGAAATATTTCATGAAAATGTGAGAATGAATAGGTGGTAAGTATACTTACCACTATGTCTCAAAGGGTTAAAAAGATGGATTTTCTGACGATCGGATCAAAATTACCCATCGCCACTACACCCTGTAGCGATCGAAGCGATCAAAGCTACGTGAAGCATATTCATTTCTAAAGTCTCTTCTAATAAGTATTTTCGGTCAAGGACGCCTGCTAGGACTACACACGCGTTTGCGCGTGCACACTCCAATCTCCTGCGGAGGGGCAACATCGATCTACAAGTCGGACGGTCAAAGTCGCGATTTCGCCGTTACACGCAGGCGGGCTTCCAAAGTGCAACGGTAACGCAATTCTCGCGGTTGCGACATGGAAAGAGGGGCGTGTATCCAGTACAGCCATTAATTACGCATTATGTAAAGGAGATCGCGCGAGCGCGAGCATCACGATTCGCGTATCGCCGTCGCCGCAATACGCGCCGGTCAGATTTCCAGGAAATCGTTGCCGATCCTGCGGATCGTCTCTTCCAGAGAGAGAGAGAGAGAGAGAGAGAGAGAGAGAGAGAGAGAGAGAGAGAGAGAGAAAGAGAGAGAGATAGAGAGGAACGGTACTCGTCGCGCACACACAAACGCGCGAGCGTTGCGCGAGGCATCATCCGTGAGCGGCACAGCCAAGTCTGATTGAAAGACAAAAAAAGAACCACCGTCGACATTGCGCCTTTCGAAACCGTCGAACGAGTATCGATCGCTTTCCAAATCGCAATAAGACCGCGCGGCGTGAGACCGTAACACGTAACGGGCGGCGCGCCGCGATGTCAAAATTCGCGCCTTACGCAACAGTCCGAGTTACGCACAGATAAATTGCGGTTACGTAACCGGTCAAACGGCGAAAAGGAGGAAAGAAGGGGGGAGGGAGAATTCGGTCGAGCATCGCCGTTAAACGTAATTGCGGCACAAGACTGTTCCGCATCGTTCCGGAATTCAGCGGAAACAACGCAACGCCGTATTCTCCTCTCCTGCCGATCTTGCCCCCCCCCCCCAATTGCCCCCTCGACGAGAGCTGCACACGAGGACGGAAAAAATGCAATTCCCCGCCGAAATTACCCGGCTGCTGCACCGTTATCGTCCGGATCGTAAAACGAACGCGAGCCTTCCCCGGGCATTCCTCCTCCTCCTCCTCCTCTCCGGTTCTCGGATCGTACATATAATTCACATCTCTCCCCCTCTCTCTCGTCTCGATTACAGTTACCCTCTTACGCACATTCCGCGAACGAATTTTACGGTCGACCTTCTGCATCCTCGAGACTGCATCCTCATCGATCCGAAAAAATCAAGCCGCGCCGCCGCGATCGCAGAAGGTCCCCGACGACGCTTGACTTCCCGGTTGACCTGCGGCAGCCGCGATTCGGCGTTTCCTGGACTCGAATCACCAATTGAACGATACATATGACGCGACAAAGTCGCCGAATGAAACTCGAGCCCCCCCCTCCCCCCGCGAGCATCCACTCCTTGTATGGACAAAAGACGAGAAATCTGCCGTCATTCTCTTCAGGTTACAGCCACGTCGCAGGGATCTACGTGGGTTCAGGAGAGGAGAGAACCGTGCGCGGTTCAATGCGACGGCTTAATCTGCTTAATTGGCACGCAAGGTCGCCCGCGGCGATGTGGATTAGCATCGCGTAACCGCGACTCCCGCGCCGCTAATCCCGACCAAGTTCACTAAAGCCCGCCACTCGAATCGCGCGACGCTCGTTATTTAATCTAGTCGCCGCCGCAGCGCAACACGTGCGATTCTTCTAACCCTCCGACGACGATCGGTCGTGCTCTGGGCGCTCATATCAATAGAGCCACGTCGATATATCGAATCGAGCCGGTGAACCGCGACCGTTACGGCATTGAACGTGTTAAACTCTAAATCCTCCGTGCTTGTGGTCTGCGCGCATGTACGCGCTGCTTAAAGCTGCGCGAGGCGGAGGAGGGAGAGGGACGGCAATTCGCTAACCCGAGGTTAAGTAATCCAGACTGTGTTGCGGCAACCGGAATATGCGGCGCAGTAGTGTTTCAAATCGGCCGATCGAGAAAGCGAGTGACGTATCGCGTGTCTAATGCGCGCGAGGAGGAACTCTCTCTCGCGAGTTCGCGACAGCCACTCGAAGGGAGGAGGAAGAGGAGGAAGAGGAGGAGGAGGAGAAAGAGGAGGAGAAGGGAACGACGACGGCGGTGATGGAGGAGGAGGAGGAGGAGGAGAGGAAGAGGAAGATGAAGAGAGACGATCGTCCGCGCCCCGAGGGTCATCGACATCGTAGGAACGCGAGCTGACCGACCCGTTCGCGCTCATTTTCTTTTCCTACCCGGTCCTCTTCTTTCCTTTTCCCTTCGCCACGCATCAGCCTGACCATCCGTCCGTCCGTCTGTTCGTTCGTCTGTCCGTCCCTTTATCGCTAATTTCGCGAGAATTGCTCGTCCAACCGGACGAACAACGAGCCGAGCGCACGTCGCCCAGTCAATGTGCTCTCGCGTGGGTGAACTTTTTGCCTGCGATCGGGGAAAAGTCTCCGACGGAGTTCCGGTCTCCTCGCGCGAGACGGGGCTTCCTAATCGTGCGAAAAACTACGAAGAGAGCGAGAGCGAGAGAGAGAGAGAGAGAGAGAGAGAGGTGTCAACGCTGGACGACGGCGCGGCGCGAAGATGATTTTGTCGGCGCGACGCGTCGTTGATACGAAAATTCCATGGCCATTAACTCGTTGAGTGCGCGGACACATCGGCGCTAGAGACCTCATGCGTTTCAATTGTCACGCCGGAGTTCCGCTGGAAAGCTGTCGCGCGAGCCGAACAGTTAGAGAAGCCATCGACGACGACGACGACAAAGACGACGTGTCTTTAAATTCACGGTAATAAACGATCGCTGGCGCGACTTCGTACCTCTCTGTAAACCGGCTTACAGTCTCTCTCTCTCTCTCTCTCTCTCTCTCTCTCTCTCTCTCTCTCTCTCTCTTCCTCTCGCGGGAAAGAGATTATTTTGAGAATGCGCCGCTTTGCAGTTTTTACAGAGTTACTTCATTACTCGTTGTATCGTCTGATCGACACACAAGTCGCAACAACTCCGAGACTTTCTCCGTTTATATCGCGGTTCAACTTACTGGGCCACCTGAGTCGACCGAAGAAAGTCGTCAGGTCGACTCTCGGGCCGTTTATTAATTATCGAAACCGTCACGTGAACGCAATAACAGACTGCGCAAGATACTCCGAGATCGCACTTCGCATAGTAGCTTCCCCTAATAGTGGACTCGGGGGTAGAGGTGTAATTTTACTTCGGAGTCTTCGTATTCGAAACTTCGAAGAAGCGAAGCTTCGATACAAAGTATTCGACGATCAAAGTTTCGAAGTTTCGAAGCACTGAACCTTCGAAATTTCGAGAATTCGAAGGTATTCGGGAATCGAACCACGATACTTTTGTTATCCACGGAATGTAGAATATATGATTGAGATGGTCTAGCATTCAGCGTGTGCAGAAACAAAGAGCGCAAGTTCGGAGATAACCGCCCCGCGTCCTTCGAAGCTTCGAAGAGTGACATCTTCGAAGAAGACTAGTCTTCGAAGCTTCGGCATAAAAAACTTCCAAGTTTCAAAGTTGACTTCGAAGCTGCCGAAGAGTAACAGCCCTATTCGGGGGTAGATATATATTGATATATATTGATATATATTTTTTTAGAGGTTTCTTCGAAGTTTTCGTATTTGAAGCTTCCAAGTTTCTTCAGCTTCAAAATTTCGAGAATTATATATCGCCTGATTTTTTATACTTTTGTTATCCGCGGAATGTAGAATGTATGACTGAGATGGCCTAGCACAGCTAGTGTGTGCATGCGGAAACAAAGAGGAAATTACCGTCCCGCATCCTTCGAAGCTTCGAAGAGTGACATCTTCGAAGAAGACTAGTCTTCGAAGCTTCGGCATAAAAAACTTGCAAGTTTCGAAGTTGATTTCGAAGCTTCGGAACTTCGAAGCTGCCGACGAGTAACAGCCCTACTCGCGGGCCGCTTTAGCGCGCTCGTTTCACATCGATACATCCCCGATAATGAGCCGACCCCGATAATGAGATACTCCAGCGAAGATTCGCCGCGCGATTCACAGCGTGTCCCGCGTTGCGGTAGGTAGGCAACCGTGCTGAACGCTTTTACGTACACTTTAACGCTTCGCGTCCGCGTCGTGCGATTTCGCAAGTTATGTCGCGACCTTCCGTCGTAACCTTGATACTCATCTGTCAAGTACCTTGCCCGAACGCGCGTGCCTTACGGTAACGCGCTCCATTTCCCTACGCTCGAGAGCAAGAGGGAGAGAGGGGGGGAGAGAGAGAGAGAGGGGGGGAGAGAGAGAGAGAGAGAGCGAGGGATGGTGGTGGAGGGGAGGGGGAGGGGAGGAGAGAACGGTGGCGACCTTCGTATTTATCTCTACGGAGGTGGTATCGTATATTATATCGATATACGCCGCAGAGACGAGAACAAGCGGGCGACTGTGCGATCTCGCGGCATAAATCTGCGGGAAACCTGCCGACGTTGAAACGCGCGTCTACCTCCTGCGAAACATGGACGAGCGCAGGAAACCGTAGGGAAAAAATGCACGAATCTTGTATCCCGCCGCATACACGAGGGAAAAGTAAGTATCGCCGAGCATCGACTCGGCGAGCGGCAACGAAAGGGAAGAAAGGATAACGAGGACGTGCCCGCGCTTTCGTACGCGATCGAACTCTTCGTTTGATAATAATGAAATGTCTCCGGCCGACGACGAGGACGACGACGACGACGACGGTAGTCGACAGGCCCGCTCCGCGACGGAGGATGAGGAACGCAGGTACAAATTGAGTTTCCACGCGATAAAGGCCGCGCGCGCGTTCGTCGAAAACGCCGGAGAAAGGTGGAGAAAGCACGCGGACGTAAGCCTTCGCGTCGTCTACGTGGAGCGCATTGTCTACATCGATTACGGGCAAAAGGACGGCGACGCGGGACGCGGGCGCGGTCTATATTTAGACGCGGACAGAGAGAGAGAGAGAGAGAGAGACTCTATTCGCCGTCGCGTACTCGGCCGCCGATACTCTGCTTTCGTTTCACGCGGCGCGTACGCCACGTTCGACTAATTATCGGCGCGACGGATTTAGCGCGAGCGTGTGGTGGGGCGAGTCGTGGCAATGAGTCACTTTAAAGCGAAGAGAGAATTCGACTAGTCGCGGCGGGCGGCGTTAGAAAGCGCCGCTTGCTCTTGCCAATCGTGTCCCGATAATATGTACATTTGTTGATCGATCGGCTTGCGCCGGATGTAAAACAGCGCGCGCGTTACGTGCGAAGCACCACGGTGACGATTCCGATCGGGCGAAATGTATCCGAGCTACACACGCAGTGAGGTGTCTCTCTCTCTCTCTCTCTCTCTCTCTCTCTCTCTCTCTCGCTCTCAGAGGTATCGCGTGTCTTCGCGGTATCTCCGCGAATTCTCCGCGCGCGCGTGTCGATCTGTCCTTGGCGAAGAGCGAGCAGATTGCACATCTGTGCGATCTCGCGCCGGATCCTTCTCCTTTTGCGCACCGAGCGAATCACGAATACCCAGCGAGTATAATTGCGATCGCGCTCCTCGTCGCCGCGAGGCTCGGCAGGATCCGCGACGAATCCGGCTCCCTGTGTGTGTGTGTGTGTTGTGTGTTACTGGAGTGATATTTCTGGCTCTCGCGGTTGTCTGTGGAGAGTTGGAGTGTTGCGAAAGCTCGTCGGTTCTATCCGCCATTTCTTTCGTTAACAGTGACGAAACGGTAAACGCTACATTCAATTAACCCTTTGAGACATAGTGGTAAGTATTCTTATCACCTATTTATTTTCACATTTTCATGAAATATTTCATATTTGGGGGATTCTTTTCGGGGGTTTTTTTTTGCGTTTTTTAGCTTCTTATATGATATGGGAACATACATGAAAAGTTGAAAAGTGTTTTGCGTAAGTTGTCCATTTGTCATAAATAAACAAAGTATGAAAAATATACATTTTTATTATTTATTTAAAAAAAATCATTTTCCACGAACTATGAGTGAATTTTTTGCTCAAAATCAAGGTTCGGGGTCGGTTTTTTGAGTCGCTGATTACGAGTCTGAGGTCCAAATTCCAAAATTAATAATAAAGTAAATCCTAAGATGGCGGATTCAAGATGGCAGATCATAGAATTTTTATTGAATTAGCTAAAATTGTACTCTGATTAGTTTTAGAGCTCACTGATTACGAATCTGAAGTACAAATTCTAAAATTTATTTTCCAAGATGGTGGATCATAAAACTTTTATATAATTAGGTAAAATTGTACTTTGGTTAGCTTTCAAGGACGCTGATTACGAATCCGAGGTCCAAAATTCATTGTTCAAGATTCAAGTTGGCGCGGATCATTCTAATATATTTACCTGACATTGTCTTCCGGTTAATTAATTTTTCATATTTGCGGCCGCCATCTTGAATTTTAAAAATCTGATGACGGATTCGTAATCAGCGACTTCAAAAACCCCACAATATCCCTATTGTCACCGAAATTATCGCGATTTTTCATTTTCGCCTCCGCCATCTCGAATTTCGAGAATCTGATAACGGATTGGTCATCAGCGGCCCCCGTATATAAATTTTCATGTGATTCGGATTTCTGAAAAATACGCCTCAAGGCAAAAGATTAAAGCCGCCGTCCTTAGCAGGGGCAACCGTTGGATTCCAGAGTTTGCGGAATCGCTCGCGCGCCTCGAGCCGTGCCGGGAAATCATCGACGAGCTTTTGCGAGGCTCTAATAACACGACAGATTTGTATTATACGACGTCCGCGTCGACGAGAGAGGAATGGGCGGTCAAAGACGGCGAAAGTAAACATCTTGAGTCCGTCAATGTTTGATCGAGAGAACGGAAACTTCCACGTGGGTTTTTCCCCGTCATTGATTACAGGTCAGCAGTCGAGATACCGTCGCAATAGAAAGTGCATTAAGACGTGCGTAAAACAGTCCGGCAACGAGACCGACAATTATTCTAACTGTCCGCGGCTTCAAGGAAGAAGGAAGACGACATCTTACGCCAGGGTCGCCACACGGTGTGCATTACATACCGCTGCACTTACAGATGCACATGCACGCTGCACTGCGCGTGACGTAAGCAACGACGACGTTCCCCTTCCAGCGTGCGATTATTGTTCGTGGACATTCGTGAACTCGTCTCGATGCGATTCACGCATGCGGGCCGTGTCTTGTCTCGTGACAATCCTTCGATGACTTTGACATCGCGGACGATCGCGCGGAGGCACTTGACGAAAGCGAAGTTCGAAAATGCGAGAGAGAGAGAGAGAGAGAGAGAGAGCTCGAAAGACTCGAGTAGCTAAAACTATAATCGCGCAATCGAGCGATACTTGGCGGATGTAAACGTCCGGACGAGATCGATCGCAGCTGATCGAGAAAAACTGTTCGGTACCATACACAGAGGAGTCGAGGAACTACGGTCGTTGCTTTAAAATATACGGAGAGGAGAACGCGTCGGGACGTATCTTTTTCACACAGGAGACACACAGGCTGATTGCCCGGTGCGATAAGTCAACAGTTGACGCCAGCAAGCAAGCAAGCAACGTTATATAAGGAATCATAAAGAAGACGAAGGAAAAAGCGCTATTCCCGCGGGTCTGTAATCAGCGGGACGTGCTAATTCGCGCGGTGCCGCGGCGAATATTGCAGGAAGTCGCGAGAGTCGTAATGCCCCGGTGAGAGCTGTTGTGCGCGGTGTAACAGCAATGACGAGACGAGAGAGAGAGAGAGAGAGAGAGAGAGAGAAGCGATCGGCGCGCCGGCCGGCAGTCACTTACCCGTCGCCGTCGAGAGTGATAGCGGTGTCGGCCAAAACTCGTAGCACGAGACCGACGGTCGCCCTGGCGTGGCAATCGATACCCAGAAGACAGCTCTCCTCGGCGTCCTGCCTTCCTGTGCACGAGACGACGACGAGATATCGCGTCCTTCCTGGATGCACCGACTCCAGTTTCACGGCCTGAAAGAAAAATACGAGGAAGTCTCCGATTACTTTGCGGCAGTTTAAAGCACAGCTCGCGAATGACCGTTTAAACGCTGCTTACGAGCAAAGAGACATTCAAACGTCGCTCGCGAAGCGCACGAGAATTGGCCTCAGGCAACTTTGCGAATCAAGCGCGATACAAGCAGGGGCCGACACGGACGAGAGGTCGTATAATAATCTTTCTCTCTTGCAAATGAGATATTAACGATTCAAGTTTGAAGCAAGCTAGCTGCTCTCGTCGTCGAGATACATAAGTGTGTAAAAAATGGCGAGATTTTAAACCGCTTCGCGGTTCTTTATCGCACGGACATTTATTTTTCTTTGAGGTTTCACGGAAAATATCAACAGGATCTTTTCCTCCGGAGATTCTCCGGACAAGATTATATATATAAAATTTGTCTTTGAAAATCCGAGGGAAATCACACAGCAAGATTTCTCTTTGAAGACCCAAAGGAAATTGCAATTTCTTCAAATTGAATTTCTTGAGAATTTCGGTAGAAAAGGGTACGCACCTCACCGATTTTTCTCATTTTGAAATATGTTATAAAGGATGAAATTCTAAATCGACTTTTCCTAATACAAGTACATGGGGGACGCTTATAGTTTCTGAGATATTTGACTCTAAAATTTTATAATTGTACGTTGAAGTATATTCGAAGTAGACAAGCAGTTTTCATTCACTTTAAATATAGGAAACAGTACATATGAGCGGGAGAGGGGCTCCGCCCCCTCCTCCCCAAACAAATCCTAACCTAACCTAACTTATTGCATCTTTATATATTTTTGTTGACATTGTTGAAAAAAGTTCTCTTCTAGATCTATCACCTGGCTCAACTTAATTTATTATAATATCCGCATATAATTAGGTGTTGTGGCTTTTAAGATCTTTTCAACATCACCCAACAATATATAAAGATACAATAAGTTAGGTTAGGTTAGGATTCTTTTGGGGAAGGAGTGCGAGGGAGGGGTGAAGCCCCTCTCCCGTTTATATATACTGTTTCCTATATTTCGATGTATACACTATGTTTGGATTAACTGTTTGGATTGTACTGTAAATAACGTCAGCTTATGATATCTGGAATTTAACATCAAATTTCCAAAACTTTAATGTCAAATATCTCGGAAACTATAAGCGACCCCCATATAGTTGTATCAGGAAAAGTCACTCAGTACTTCATCCTTTATAACATATTTCAAGATGAAAACAACCGGTGAGGTGTATCCCTTTCTATACATTTACCAGAATTTCTTCAAACAACAATTTTGTTCAAATCCTCATGGCAGCAATGTCTATGGTGGTGAATGGTGGGCGGGCCCCGACTTCTCGGTCTCACACGCCTCGCACGTTCGTGCCGATTTTACCGAGGTTTTACCGAATTCCGCGACTCATCCAATTCCCGTGCACATCGCGATGCAACGATCGCTATCTTCCAGGGTTAACGACACTACACAGGGAAGTGATGTTATACAAGCAGCTGATTGGCTTCGCTTCCGTTCGACCGGTCGCTTCCCGTTCGTATCGATATCGACAGTGTCCGTAACACCGTCCATCTGCTTCGCGATCAATCTGCATGTCGTTTTAGGAAGACAATATTTATCAATTACACGCACAGGCTCGATCTACTATCCAATCTTTCATCGATGCTTTTCACCGCGGAAATGTAGTTTCGAAAGCACTGGACTCTTACCGAAGAACGACAGAGAGAGAGAGAGAGAGAAACATCTCGATCGGAAAGTAGAAAACAGATCGCGCTGCGAGCAACGCTAACCCCGACACGCTTGCAGCCGACAATTGCAATTACCCTTTGTAGCGCGAAGCGAAGGGTTAACGAGAGAAATCGACGTGCAGCGTGGAGAATAGAAGACCGGTCGAGCGAACGAGCGAACGGCCGCGCTCCGTCGGAGAATTCCCAGGATGAAATCCTGCGTGTGAGATATTCCGAGACGGTTAAAACGATCGGTCGGAACGCTCACAATAATTCGCCCGCTCGATTAAACGCGAGCGTATCACTCGCAGTCATCTCGGCGTTTTAAAAGTTCCGCGGATGCGCGCGCTCGATGCTCCCGTCGAGAGCCGACTGTTTAATTACTTTCACCGCGCGACCCTTATCTCTCTCTCTCTCTCTCTCTCTCTCTCTCTCTCTCTCTCTCTCTCTCTCTCGCATCGGCTACCGGCGGCAACGGAGGAAACGCCGCCACGCGAATTACGGGAAATCACATGGATGAGAGGAGCGAGAGAAAGAGAAGAGCGACCGAGAGCACCGCACCAATCACGCGATTTTCCAACTGTTCGCCGCCGCGAGTAGGGATGCAACGATCGAAATCGATAATATCGAAATATATCGATATATCGAGAGACAAATATCGAATAATTTATCGGTATTTTTTGTCTCCGATAAAATCGACATATCGATGTGAATTTTTACTAATTTTCGTATTTCTCAGTCACAGTCACAGCTCTATTACGGTTCTACGACCGAGATGAAAATTACAAAAGCGAGTGAATTCACTAGAATATATATTATGTAATTGCTCGATGTCTAACAAGTTCGCTCACTTTGATCATTTCCATCTCAATCGTTGAACCGTAAATAGATCTCTTGCTCCATGTATGTGGTGATCTCCGGCAAATGACTGCGGTTCGTTATATATTTTTCTAATAAGAATACGACAATAAATTATATGAAGATAAAAATTTGTAAAAGATCCTTTCAAATTTTCCGTGCATATCCTTCATATGCATACACTTTTTTTTTGATATAAATATCGATATTCTTCAAAATTACCGATATTATCGTTATCGATGGTTCCGAATGATACCGTTATCGATATTTTGAGAAATCGGTGCATCCCTAGTCGCGAGTGCCGCAGGTGCGGTGGCCGTCGCGTGCGTTTTTGCAACGTGTCAAACGGCAATTAACGTTTCCGCGGGAAACCTCTCTCGGGTATCCCGAGTGCGGCGCGATAACGATAAGAGACCGGATTTTGTCGGCGAGTCTCGCCGCGTAGCCTGCAAGATGCTACCTCGTCGTCGTCGTCGTCGTCGCCGGTTCGCGCGTAACGCGCGGAACGCACTCGCGGGCGTTAATAAATGATAAATTCACCGCGCGCGCGCGGCCGCAGCCAATTAGGTTTCATATATCAATGGCACGAAACGGGAACGGGAACGGGTCCGGTGTCTTTCTAGGATCTGGAGCGGAAAGAGGAGAATATATTGTGCGAGAGTCGCTTCGTCTCTTCTTTTCTTTTTCTCCTTTTTTTGCGCCGTCCCGTCGTCTCGAGGATGAACGACGTTAACTGCTCGCGCCGTTGAAAATCCGCGACGGGGATCCTCTCTTCTCAGACACTTTTCACGCTGCTGCGTGCCGTAATTAACATTCTTTGATTGCACTCGGTATCTCGGTGAGAATGATGTTGATCACGTGTTGTGAAAAATGAAGCGCTGAACGGTTAATTAAAGATTGTATCTCGGCGTCCGCGCGCGATTGTTTCGATCTTACCGCAATTAATATAAAAATATTAATACGAAATATTAATATAAAAATATATCGAGTGACACTCGAATGACGCATCGGAATATCTTAATCTTGAGTTCTAGCCATTTTTTAACCACTTTGTATTTGTTTACTCTTTGAGGTACCAATGAAATAAATTGCGGTACAAACAGGTACAAACGAAGTGTACAAACAAGCTATATTATTAATCTTTAATTTCTTTTAAGTCGAGTTCCAAGTTCACATCGGTAAATATATTCCCCCACCTGCAACGTAATCGCGCGAGTTAGGACGTTTCAAATAACTCTGCACTTGACGCCTCCGTATATTCGGATAATCGCAAGTTAAATTTACTTATAGAGCACGGTTGCAACTAAATTTAATAAAATCTCGGAACGAACCGATGGAAGCCCGATAGAAAAGTCGAGCGGAATTACGTACAATGACAAAGTATGAGATATAAAATTCACGTTCTCCTCTCGTCTCGTCTTCTCTCGCGGTCTTTTATATCCGGCGGTTAGATTCGATTCTTGCGCACAGCCGCATTATCGCCGCTCGATCGCGCGCGATTGAATTTCCCGACGAATATGCCAGAGCCTTCGAAAACGGAGCCGGAAACCCCCTCCCCCCGCCTTTCCACCGGAAAGGAGGAAGTGGCCGATTAATGTATGCGACAGATATCGCAGTCACGATTCGCCCGCTGCGCCGTCTCGCGCCGGTTCCGCCATTAATCATCCAGCGGAACGATTTCCCGATCGCGATTAATAACGCCACGATTATGCGATCCGCGAGCGAGCGCTGTGCTCGCGAGAGTGTCTTCGGGGACACCGAGGCGAAATCGTAAAAAAGGCCGCCGTTGCCGGCGAGGAGAGCGAGGAAACGGCGAAAGTCTGGTGGACGGAATTGGCGGAAAGGGAAAGGCGGAAAGCTGCCGATGGAAAAATTGGCCCCTTCGGACAGTTGTCGTATTAATTATAATACGACAATAATTAGAGACCGCTCGCGTGAACGCGGTGTGTTGCCCGCGCGACTCGAAAGTCCCTCTCGTTCTCGTCGCTTGCTAATATAATCTTACCGACACAGCTCGCTCGCTCGCGAGGGGAGCGAGGGGAGCGCATGCTAATTCGCGCGAATCGCACTCAATAAAACTCGCGAGAGGCCGCGGTTTAGCGTGAAATTAATTTAAGCGCCGCGCGCGCCGAGTGCGGCCGCCCGCGTTTCCGCGGCTCGGCAATTACGTGCAGTTAACTCTGGTAAAAATATGCAATTAATCGCGCAATGATCCTTGCGGGACGTCGTAAATTACGCGCGTTTCCTTCCGCGATTGCAACGATCGTGGCACACGTGGCGGAGACGGTGGGGAAGTAAACGGAATTAAGATATATCGTCCTCTCGCGTCTCCGCAAAAGCAGTCGCTCCAAGTCGCGTCTTTAACGCGGCAAATTATCCGTCGCGAGCTGAGAAGTACTCGACTCGTGA